AACACAAGTGCTACCAGATAATAACGGCCGCCTAAGGGCCACTTGAAGGCGCCACCTCTTGGCCTGCGTAGCATGAGCCAATATGCAAGACAGTCCCTCGGGTAATGCAACACACCGATTGAACACCACGGGAACTTGCTCCAAAATCGGCTGTCAGCGTTGTCTCTATCACGCATGACTGACGCAGTCAACACTACCTCTGGCTTCGCCAGTTGCCATTGCTGCCTCAGCAACTGAGAGTTCTGTGCACAACGCAGCCCTTCCACTGGCGCCGCTAACACTCCGATACGCGTACCAACGGCACACCTTGCTAGGTAGGCTCCCACGTACGCGGGCCACATTACGAGGGAGCCATTGCAGCCTGTCTCTCAGCCCGCTAGTCAGCCACTCCACACAAGATACACACTGGGCAGACTGTGCGATCCGAGTTATCCCGTCAGTTGGCAGTCTCCCAAGCCATAGTTTTTAGCGCCCCGTGATAGCTTCGAGCACGTCCGACTGATTATAGTGGAGAATTAAATACGCCTAGGATCAACCTCACTCTCTCCCCCACCACCAGCAACAAGCCACCACCCAGCTAATTAGTTGCCTGAGATGGGATGGGCAGTGGCGGCGAACCCGTCTGCGCGCGCTACTGCACGACCTTACCCTCTTGAGACACACCAGGATTCACATAACCGGGAGATTATAAGGACACGACGCCCCCTGACTCTCTTTGTTACTCATCAGCCAGGTCACACACAACACAGGTTGGGCTAACTGTAAAAACGGTAAAAACGAGCGAATCTAGAAGGAAGCAAAACAACAAGAGCAGAAAGACGATGAGAAATCCTAAAAAAACGACGACCACCAGCAAAAAAACAATGAAAACGCACCTGATTATGACACCAGGTCTGAGGTCGAAGTTGTCATGGACAATGCGCAGCAGTTCCGAGTCCGGCATCTTGCCGGTGCCATAGCTGTCTACGTAGACGGCCAGCGGTTCAGCTATGCCGATGGCGTAGGAAAGCTGCACCAAAACCCGACGACAGAGGCCTGCCTTGACCAGGGACTTGGCCACCCACCGCGCTGCGTA